CCAGCTCCTCCCCCCCCGCCACCCACACCCTTAGATTGAAAGCTGAAATCCCTCCACCCAGACCCACTCCAACAGTCTGATAGCAGCGGTTGCAATAAACGATAAACCGGCATCAATGTGAGTATCGATCTGCCGCTAACAGTTGTGTTGGGGCATGAGGGTGGCCAGGGGGATGGAATCAGTGTCCCTTTACCGAGCTGAATCAACATGACAATAAGTGGGGCGATAAACGGGGCTGGAGTAATTTTTCGACAAACAGCACGGGATAATTTGTTTGTACGAATTCTATTATCCGAGCACTTGTGTTCAACTTTCTGTTGCACTGTTATAATGCGAATTCCGCGAAACGTGTGCTGCTTTCAAATGGATGTACTGATTCCATTTTCACCTGTTCGCCGAGTTTGGCAATTTGATTTCAAACGTTTCCATACCAGCCGAGGGGACAACTTCAGTGCTTGCAAACAAATTGCCAAGCTTGGCAACACAGTTTAAAATGACTCCAGTTTACCCGAGCTACGAGAACCGATTTCCAATACTGCGTCAGACGTACCAATTATTTTTAAATTTTCTACACCATTCTCATCATCATGGATCCCGATTTGGAATGATAAAAAATCAGCGTTGAATTACCCCGGAATAAATCAGGTTATTATTTTGGTGGAGATTATTGCTTTGGAATAGTATTGCCTCGAGATCGATTTGTTATTATTATTGCGTCTTAGTCGATTCGAGACAAAGTTACTGACTGTTTGCCGCAAGCACATGGATTAAATCAATTTTGGTTCGATAGCCCAGCTCAAATTTGTACTTCCCGATAATACAAACCTGGAATTACATGGTATATTTCAGTTCTGAAATGCATGATCCATAAGGATGATACAACCAGAGAGACGATAAGGCAAAAAATTACTTGTTGAGCAGTTCTGTCAAGAATCAGAGAATAAGCAACAGCTTTCATTAAATGAAAAAGAAATATTGAAAAATGAAACCACAACTCGTCGAATAAGTTCGCGAATATTTCCCGCCCACACGGAATTCATGAATTGTGACAGTTCGGTTGGAACCAGGGATGTTGAAGAAGGTGTCTAACGGGTTTAGGAAAATAACTTTTGCATCTTCTATACGCAGTACATCATCAACGTATCGTCTGTATAGGTTACACGGTCTGGTATGGGACTGAAGAGGATCGTTCTCAAGTTTGGCGATAAAAAAGTCAGCGAATAATGAGACCCGTCATAGATATGTGCGACTCCCCGTATCGCACCATTGGGAAGTGTTTGGTATGCGAACCAGGAGCACTCGCAATTTGTATACATAGTGTACGACACATTTTTCATCTTTCAGATATTTTGAAGGACCTAAACTTCAAAGGCAAACAGATGATGTCATTTCATGTTACTCGTTTGTTCACAAAGGTGCCAATTATTAATCACGCATGTGGATCTCTTCAAGAGAACAACATCGATGTGGGCATTCGACTGGATGAACTGACACAATTGTTATTCGCATGTACGCATAACGTCCAGTTTCATTGCAGTGATGAATTATATCGCCAGAAGGATGCGGTTGCAATGGGGTCACCTTTAGGACCATTGTTTGCTGACACCTTGATAGCCAAACTTGAGAACCATGCTCTTGAGTCGCAATCAAACAGTGCACCGTGTACAGACGATGTATTGTGTATATCAGATGCAAACGTGGACTCCAATCGGTTGTTTGAGGAATTCATCAGAAAATATTTTTATTCGTGATTTAGTTAAGATCCGCAAGCCTCCTCTAGAGCGGACGAAACCAGAATCAGAAGATAGATGACTCAGCGTGTGTGTGTGTGCCGGTGATGTGCACGTAAGTAACAATAACGTTCTTATTATACTTTACTCAGCACATTGGTCGGAAATCCGTTTTAGTTGTTTAATCTTTCTCGTGCGAAACCGAGTCGTTGCTATCCCACAGCATTATGTCCGATTTTCCAATCCATATCAACATCTTCCTTGTGCCGTTCGAAACCCGCGGAAGTATAAAGGCAAGTATCAGTTATATCTTCAGATAATGATTAAATTTCGTGTAAGACTGAAATTCAGACAGCTATAAAAATGTCACTTCAGCAACTGGTGAGCTAACAATCGTGCTCACAAGCCTAAAGCTCTACCGTCAGGAGGCAAACTACTATACGCGGACGACCTCAGGAAGTAAGGTGTTTAATCCATCGTAGATTTCAAAATCTGTCTATTCTTATTCCGACCAGTTTTTACGTTTTGTGCTTCAGCTTTCCTCGCCTCTGTATGGCATCAACCGACTTATGGAAATCATATAAGTGGAAATCGACAATGAATCGTCCAGTATAGTGACGTACTCTAGCAGTCTCCATGATGAGTGTGTTGCAGTCGAAAAAAGTAACAAGAATAATTCATTTTTATTGCCTAACAGCTGAGAGATTGAAGATGCTTTCTAGTTAATGGAGCTTTCAGATCGTGAAAGTTATTGAGTTAATAACACAGCGATGTCGGTAGAGAATTATATTCGCCGACGTTTCGGTTACCGTGGGTAACCTTTCTCAAGGCAGGTTTTTACAATCAAATGACTCAAGGGAATAATCACAAGTTAACGGATATTTCATCATGTGTGTGTGTGTGTGNGTGTGTATGTGGCGAGCTCGATTCGTCGTCTGTCGTACTAACTCCCATTCTCAGATGGGGTCAAGTGGCACCGTGACCTTTGTCCGGATTACGCGTTAGGGATATTAGTGTAGTCCAAATGCTCGGGATATCGATTCCGTCATTTCTGTTGACGCATGCAGAGTGGTTGTTAATGGCCAAAGCTTCGGCAAACGACCGTTCGGTGCATGTTCGAAAACCGAGTTGGAGTATTTTGGGGTTGTCGTAGTCTATGGTGTGACCTTCGGCTATGGCGTGAAGAGCGATCGCTGAGTCTCGTTCTAGTTTTGCCAGGGTTGCTTTGTCTGTCGGCCGGTGTTTTTCTTTTNGTGTGTGTGTGTGTGTGTGAGTGTGTCTCCGTGTATGTGTGTATGTGGCGAGCTCAATGATTCGTCGTCTGTCATACTAACTCCCATTCTCAGATGGGGTCAAGTGGCACCGTGACCTTTGTCCGGATTACGCGTTAGGGATGTTAGTGTAGTCCAAATGCTCGGGATATCGATTCCGTCATTTCTGTTGACGCATGCAGAGTGGTTGTTAATGGCCAAAGCTTCGGCAAACGACCGTTCGGTGCATGTTCGAAAACCGAGTTGGAGTATTTTGGGGTTGTCGTAGTCTATGGTGTGACCTTCGGCTATGGCGTGAAGAGCGATCGCTGAGTCTCGTTCTAGTTTTGCCAGGGTTGCTTTGTCTGTCGGCCGGTGTTTTTCTTTTCTTTTATGTTCGGTTATTCTTGTCTTCAGTTGTCTGCTTGTTTGCCCAATGTATTCCGCGGGGCATTCTTTACAACTGATTTTGTAAATACAGTTGCTTTTATCTTGCAATTCGACCGGATCTTTGGCTTTCACGAGATGGCGTTTCAGAGTGTTGTCAACCCGAAAGAATGTTTGTATGTTGAAATCGCCAAGAATCTTTCTGATTGCTTCTGAAGTGCCTGATCTATATGGAATGCCAATAGAGGCTATACGGTCTTTTCTGTCATTGGGTTGTATCATTGATATGTTGGCCTTAACCTGGGACCTTACCAGGAGTGGCGGATAGTGGTTGTCTTCTAGCACCTTTACGAGGCGTTTCATTTCTATTTGGCGGTTATTGTCTTCATTACAGAGCTTTTTGACTCTGTCAGCCAGAGAGGAAATAAGAGTCCGTTTTACACATTGTGGATGAGCTGATTCAAAATGTAAAAGTTTATCCGAATGTGTCGGTTTTCTGTGAACGCCGGTGGTGAATTTGCGTGAGTCGTTCACCTTGAGGTGACAGTCTAGAAAAGTTATGGCTCTGTTCCCATCCTCTGACTCCATTGTGAAGTTGATGGCGCTGCACTGTTTGTTGAGACAATCAAGAAACGCGTGTGTGTGTTGTGACTTAATGATGGCAAAAGTATCATCCACGTATCTTACGTACAAACGTGGTGGCATATGAAAACTGGAGAGTGCATTTGATTCAATTGAATGCAAAAAGAGGTTAGCTACAATGGGAGAGATGGGAGATCCCATTGCAACACCATTGGTTTGTCTGTACAAATCGTGTTTGAAGGTAAATAAAGTTGACATTAAACAAATTTCTACGCCAGTGGTAATTTCTGATGGGGTCAAAGAAGTTCGTTCTCCTAGTGTGACATCAGATATCAGCAAAGAATGTAAAAAATCTAAACTCTCTTTTATGGGAACACTAGTGTACAGAGAAACCACATCAAAACTGACGGCAACCTCGTCAACTTCCAGTTCAATGTTTTGTAAAATACGAGTGAACTCAAATGCATCATTGATGTGACTTACCACTATTTTTTGATACGGTTTTAAGAGATCACTGAGGTATTTAGCTAATTTATAAGTTCCACACGGTGTGTAGTCCACAATGGGGCGAATGGGTATATCCGGTTTATGTAGTTTTGGTAGACCGCTTTCAGATCCCTTGAAGAAGTCTTGTTTCGATCCTTTTTATCTCCATCATTTGTATGCTACTTCCCATATGAGATCCCCTCACGTGATGAGATTCACACAGTCAATGTGCTTGAGGCTTTCCGTCCTCTATACACGGTCAAGGGTAGGTTATCCAAAGAGGTCAAAAGTTCAGAATTTTGTCAACTGCCATCCGTCAATCGCCATCCGTCACCATAACCCCCCCCCTACCTTGTGCGCCCAGAAACAGTTTGTAAGAACATTGGTCTTACCATGGCCATCCAATCTGGTGACGTAACCTACGTTAGTGATCAACCACTCATTCACCTGCCCACATATTCACAAGCACTCACTTTCCGAGCACACACACAGACATACACACTCACGAACATCAATTATCACGTGTTCATCATCTCTTCTTAAACTCTGATTTCCTTCGCAGATATTCGTCTCCTCTCCCCACCTGTTTTAATCTGTTATAAATTGTGCTGTATTTAGCCAGTTGATGTAGCACCGAAAACGAGGTTGTTTGCTATTTGTGTTCCCATGACTACTCCAAAGAGAATAATTTTACTTACCTTATCTTATTAAGGAATCTAAACCACACTGTTATCACTGACAGTTTATTTCATCTTATCCCTCTCTTTCAATCACATATTCAGGAACGCTTTACCGAGGTCGCACAACAACCGGACTTTTTAAATCTGACGTTTGAAGAATTGACCGAGTTACTGCAATCGGATCATTTAAATGTGCCCAACGAGGCCACGGTATTCGCCTCATGTCTGCGCTGGATCCGTAATTCCAGTCAGCGCAAAACCGTCCATTCCCCCCCGGACACAATATCTGGTACAGTTTTAACGAGACTGTTGAAATACATTCGGCTACAGCAATTACCTGCCCGATTGCTCACAGGTAACCCCCCCCTCCTTTGATAACACCTTTCTGCGGATCATGGAATTTGAAAGTGATTTAAGTTGCAGAAATGTCCATTTTCAGTTTTTTGTATTTTTAAACGTTTTACATTACTGTGTAAAAATAGGAAAGTAAACTTCATCTGCACTACAAATTTTCACACATTTCATTGTCGCCTGAATATGCCGTCATGACACATAATGAGAAAAACAGTAGCGAACAGACTCGTGTTCGGTGATTTTTCTATAGGCTAATACATCACAATTTATGTCAAACTGTTTTGTAGCGGGAGAAATCATGACAAAATGGGAAAAGAAATAATCAACTTTGGAGTTCCATAACCGGATGTCACTCACACTTTGGTCCTCACACACACGCATTGGTTTGGATCATTATGGTGAGGGTGGTGGAGGGATGGCTATGTTGTTTGTGTAGTGTTGGCCATGAAAGATCGAGTGTGTTCTTACGAATTGTTTGTCATCATCATCATTATCGTACAGCGAAATACCGTGAAGCGAACCTCACTGACCGCTGCCAAACTCACAATGCATACAAGGTTTGTGGTAAGTTTTAAGGTGGACAGGGGTTGGATCTATTTTGAGGGAAGGGAGAAGAAGATGAGCCACTATGATCAACATACAGAGTACATAGTCCAACTGTGCATACAGACACTTTTCAAGCATTCTGACCTGATAAGAAACGACAACAAGAACGCCAGTGCTGTCTGTTCACTGCCATATCCTTCAATGTCTCCAACCAACCAGTTGTGGAGTCTTTCGGACCACAACCTGGAAGGTGAAAGACACCTACTCTACCCAATGGCTCTGTACATTTCTTCATGTCCCGATTCCACGTCATCTGTTGACCTCCACGTGGTTTCCTCCAGCCCGGATTAGCCAC